TGTCATGAAAGACACCAACGACAATAAATGTGTATAATGTGTGTTTTGAAATAATTTGCATGATTTGTTTTGACTGTGAATAAAAATACGAAACAGTAAATGTCAAAAAGGCGAATGAAATTTAGGAATAAATGTTGAACTTTTAATTAAAAAAAACGTTTACAACTAGAACTTTCCGTACGGAAATCTTATAAAATGATATAAAAAGTATCCGCGTATGCATTGATTCTTGTAAAATTTAGAGTAAAATTTATATGGTTGACAAAAATAATCATTAATCAAATAATTTCTTCATCAAAAAGTATTATATCGCCAAGCGTTCTTGTTAATCGGCAAGTGAAATTTAATATGGAGGAGATGAAAATGTCTGAGATTATTTTCAAAGCTAGACCTCGAATTTTTCAAACCAGAGCCCAAATTTTTATAAATGTTACTTTAGGCTCTTTGATTAAATATATTTAGATTTTTATAATTTTTTAAATCGTGTTATTATCAGGCTGAACAATATTTGCAATAAGTAACAAATTTAAACTACCAACGCAGTTTATTAAATGATACTCATTACTGTATAAACTGAATACTGTTAATTGTGTTAAGAAGTTGATAATGTACTCATATATGAAATTATTTCAGAAATAATCAAATTTTCGTTAACTTCTTTAAAGAAATACAACGTAATAAATAAAGTTCGGACATTTGGCAATTGCCTTCTATCATTGTTTAGGTTTAATGACAACATTAGGAATCACTTAATTGTATTGTTGAAAAGGTTTTAGGTTGTTTCATTTTGCCTTATTTCACTAATTTAGCTTCTGCATATTTTTGACATTTTGCCTTATTTGTTCATTTTGCGTCATTATTTTCCCCTTTTCCGGCACCAATCTGTACGAAGCTCGAAACCTGCAAGCCTAGACGACATGAAGGCACGGTCGTGTATTGTCTTCCTGTGGGTGCGGTGGCTCCAGTGTCAGGTTGTGTTAAAAATTGAAAGGGAAAAAAAGATGATACCAGTGAAGATTTTTGATATTTTTCATTGATGCTGACAGACTTTTCCGCTCACTATCAATCTCAACGTATATTTAAGTATGGCCTCGGATCCCTTTTGATAACATCCGTATGTATTTGATATTCCCTTCTGAATTCCTTGTTGTTCTCTCTTCCCTTCTGCAGATTTCACAAGTGAGGAGAACGCAATCTATAATTCCGTTTTTACAGATACCATTCCAAGATTCAAAAGGGAATCCACAACAGCATTTCGTAGAGACAGCGTTGCGGGTAAAATAAATTCGTACTCATCATACCCAGTGGTCAAATGCAATCAAATCTTTACAGACAAAGGGAAGTTTCCTTCCACGTACAGTAAGTGCTAATGTAAAATTTTGAGTTCGTACAAAAATAATTTTATGTATTAATCTCTTTAACAATTATTAGTTTTAAATGGTGATTTTTCACTGTTTCCTTTGTTTTCACACTCATACTTCAGACAAATTTTTGAACCTGCCTTTTTTGCATGCCTATTTTACTAAAAAAAATGCCTTTTTACCTACTTGTATTAGGTAAAATAAATGCCGGAACTTCCTGACTCCAGTAACAAATCGTGACTCCAGAAAAACATACTTAATATTTGCGGTACATTTGGGCGAGTCGGTGGCGGGATGTTGGGGGTTACGTTTGCGGCCCGGGTGGCGTCTTGTGCACCCCTGCTCCTCATGCAGAGGGGAGCGCTTTGAATGTCAGTGAACTGTAGGGGATAATGGAGCTGCGTTCTACGGACTGCGCGGCGTCGGAGAGGCGCTGGCTTGCGTTGCTTTTATGCATGACCTTCCCCATTTGACTCGCGTATTTCACTCGCAACCTTGATAAGTCGTTCTATATACACGTCGTTAACACGCTGTTCATCCATCAGAAACTTCGTGAAAGATTGAAATGACAAGTTGTTTGCATATGGTACTGGAAAAATTGTAAAATTGTAGGCTTGGAGTTTCTGTAAACTTTCTATGTATTAAATTTAACTTTTCTGATCTCCTCCCGAAAGATTCTTTTCTGGATGACATCTATGCCATTGAATCACTTTTTCGTATTTTGTGGTTCATGAAGTTGAAGATATCATCGAGAACAATAAAAACTTCACAAAAGGTATTTACCTAGAGGGATAATACCATCGTCTTTTACGCTTCAGTCTTACAATAGTAATTTCAGAATGTTCAATTTCTTTTATGAGATCTCTTAATGAAAAATTGTCTTGTAGGAGCCATATTCATGGTTTATGTTTTACCGCAACATCGACTGTAGTACAGTGAATGTTCATAAAATGTTCATGAAATGTTGGAGACTTTATTACGGTTTTGTCATTTATCGTTTACTATTCTTGAATGGATATGCTGATTTGATAACGCCGAAGACAAAAAAAATAATGTGGACGATGAGGACATGTCATATTGACTCCGAGTAATTTACACTGTACAGCACATCTTAATTTTACTGCGAAGAGATCTTACATCTTGAAACAGTGTTGTTTTGCGATATATTGCACGCTAATTGTGAATACACAGGTTCAAGTCTCGTGGTACCAGAAGCAAGTTGTGTTAATTTCTTAAGTTACAAGGAGTGCACCGTTGTTTTTTTTAAATTATTTCAGACTCATTGTCGGATTCTATGAGTAGCTTAAATCTCACTGCATTGCCAGTTGCCACAAGCGGTTTGGTTACGTAGTACAGTCAGAAGAAATCCGAAGAGTAGTGCGAGGAAACCCGAAAGTACATTATGAACTTTGTAATTATTGTAATTTATGCTGCTCTGTTTATTTGAGAAGGTAGATCCCGATTGATGCAAGGACCATATGTGTCTGTAATACTTGCCATTTCTGAATGTCCGTAATACTTGCCATCTCTTCTGCATGCGTAAAACAGAACGTTCGTCTCTTGAAAATATACGTAAAACGCACGAATTGATTTCATTGGAATGATATTATTCGTAACCATTCTACTTTTAAATCTTTTACAGAATATACTATTCGCACGTTCAAGCCACACTTATATTCTAAGACACAACTTTTTACTTATTGTATTTTTACCCCACGCAACTCTTGACGAAATGTAAACAAAAAACAACGGCACTTGACAAATTTACCCCCTACAAACTAAAATAATAAATCAATAAATGCAAGTAGGATTCGTACTCAAGAAATTCTCCGCGTACGTTGATTTGTATACACAGTACACATTTGGTTTGCCCATTTGCGAAACATTTGTAAATAATCCTGCGTGGGAAAATATCCTGAAAAACCCGTTTCAAAAACGTTTCAGCCACCGAATTGGTACTATCGGTGTAGTTCTACGAGTAATCTGCGGAACCGCTTTATTATTGTCTTTCGTTCTTCCACTCTTGCCTTTGTTTAGTTCTCGTCTTTCTCAGAAGTCAGCGTAGTGAGACTGAACCCATCCGCAAGGGCTGGTTCGCAGTGGGCGTGGAGGTGGCGGTGTTGGTGAAGGAAGGGGAGGGGTGGGGGTGGGGGAGGGGGGTGAATCCGGGTGGCCCGCTCTCTCGCGGCGTCTGGCGATGCGCTGTTGGCGGCCAGTCAACCCCCTCGCCTCCTCTGCGCGGGCGAGCGCGCCAACTCCCGCTAATGCCAAGGGCCACATGCAGCCTCGGTGACTGCAAGCCTCGCTGACGACACCCAACATACTATTTTTTGGGTTCCACCTTCAGGAACGGATCCGGTTCCAAGAGCAAACAACCGAGTCATTCGCTAAGTATGCCAAATTACAGCGGAATAGGGATTTGTTTAAGGACCGGTAGAGAAACGTCAAATCTTACCAGCTGGTGGCAACTTGTACTTTTGCTATTTTCACTTTCGCCTGCAGATATTGATCTCGCCCTAATTGTGGGTTTTCGGAAAGGCAGGTTGGAAATCAACGTGAAATTCACCCAATAAAATTGTAATAAACAACTGAATTAATAAATGTGTGATTTCCTTGAATTCTCGTATTTTCCTATTATCTAATTGCAGAACGTAAGATACATTCTGTGTAATACAGTAATTCAAATATGGCGCTATTAAGATACTTCTTTGCCAGCTCTTAAGATTCTAAGATACAAGTTTCCATATGTAAATGCATCGATCCCATCAGGTGGGAATTCAAAATCATCGAACTAATCTGTTAGGAAAGTCTTATATCGATCTCGCATCTAAACATCTTGTGTATGTCATGTAAGGAAGATAGCAACTTCATTAAAATCTTAATATTGTTTTAATTAGGTCCGACAAATTCTACAGTTGTAAAACATTATGTACTAACTGAAATCATTTGATGTTATTTTTAACCCATTTGGTGAGTAAAACTTCCATACAGGTTACTAAAACGTGTCAATGTCAGCAAAGATATTTCTTTGGCTTAGATCACTTGCTTCTTAGCAACTGCCATGTGATACTACCTTAAAGCATGAGACATAAATATTTATCACCAAGAGTGTCTAATAAACTTTCTCTCAAGTCTTCGAAATAATAGATGAAAGAACACCTTATAAAATTTATTTGACGAAAAAAGTTTGTAGATGTCACTGACATTTTGAGGATTTCACTGATTGTTTGCTATTCGTTTTCGACGAAAATACAATAAGATTTGGTCAATAAAACAATACATTCATTAAAACTGGATACGTGTGTTTACAATGCAAGTAGTTTTATTCAGATTAACAATTTTAAGTTAATTTCAAGATACTAAAACATGTGTAATTCGTGTTCACTAAAGAGGTGAATTTTTTTAGGGATAAACATTGACGACACGAAGATGAACAGAATTAAACATGACGCTGAAAATTACCAAATTACCCGCTACTGAGGACATAGTAAACATTCATTTTGACGTTTCCTACAGTTCTTACGTTGCACAGCTGTTTGGATACAAATGTGACTTTCTTTCACAGCATGCAGAAGCGAGACATTTTAAAGTAACCTCAAGCACAATCTTAGGTTGTACAATCCCAAAACCTGTACTCACCTATATGTCATATCACCCGACGTAAACACGAAACTATGGCTGGAGACAATAGCGAACACCATGGGCAGACTGATGATGAAGTAGGTAATAATCTGGTACTTCCCGAACTGTCCCACATCCTCCAGGATGACATCCAAGTCTTTGGGCATGGTTGCAAAGCTGCCCGACGGCACTCACACGGCGCGCACACACTGACAAAGGACTCGCTCGCGCACCTCGACCTGCACCGGCCATGCGCGCCCAGTACTCGTCAGACGAACCGACCGCCGTGCGCGCGCGCCCAGACACGACTGGTGCCTCCGCCTCCGCCTCCGCCGCCACGAGCGCCCCGCCGCCGCGGCCGCGCGCTATGCAGGTCAGTGATTCGCGATTCGCTCACGGCGCGCGCCGACGCCATCCGAAGGGAGTCGAAACAAAGAGCAACGCGGCGGACAAAGGACTGCCGCCCAAGTCAGGGCGTGCTGGCCTTGTCAAGTTATGGCTTCAGGGAAATGGCTGTTGCCATGGGAAAAACGACGGGAGAGGCTCGTACGAGCTGGAGGCTGGATAGGATAAGGAAACGTTGACAAATCGATCGTTTGAAAGTTTGTTAAGTGAAGTATTCGCGAACATTTTCCGCATTGTTGTCACGATACTGTAAAGGTCGTGGAAGGTAATTGTCTAGAAAGCGAATTCTTCCCTCTTTTACTATTGAAGAGAGCAGCGTTTCTCAATTACAATTTTCGAAGTGTCACTAATATTCATATTGTTTCGCATATATCTATGTGACTTATTTGCATTGGGTAGGGAAACTGAAAGAAATCTATGCAGCCTCCGGCCATGTGAGACGGTTGATAATCAGCAACATGAAAAGAAAATTTGTAAAAAATATAAATAAAGTAAACAACAACCAATAAAAAAACAACAAAAAATATGAAACATTTTCGATTTTAACTGAAGAACGTAAAGATTTGATTGTGTTATTCCACGTTTTCTCTTCCTGTTCGTACCGATTGAGTTCTCATTCTGAGTGTATCACTGCTTACGACATATCACACATCATACGTCTTCACAGCTCCAAGGAAGAGGTCATTGCATATCTATGGCTTAGTTCACAAATATTGTTTGTTCGCTCATGGTCTTTATTGACTTCATATAATTTTTGGAAACCTCTCGAACTTATCTATTTAGGGTACAACGAAGTCTGCAACGTGACAGCACAAGAGGAATCACGCTTTTCTCAGAAAGCAAACATTGTCGCTTCTTAAGTAACTGCACCTTTACACTCTCTCAAGCTCGGTTTTCTCGAAGCCAGGAATTCTGAACAAACAATATGTGTGTGTTCTAATCCATCGATATTTGCTATTCACGTTGCCTTGTGTATCCAAATACCTTAGTATACTACATTTATGTAGTTAACGTAGAATATTGTTAAAATGATTTATTTATTGAAGTGTTATACGAGAGTATAACACTGCAACAAATAAATAGAGAACCATTTTAGTGGTTTCGCTCAGTAGCAGTTTCGCTGCTGCATTCCACTCCTGCTGTTGCAGGCTATAATGTACATACCTATTCATATTTCAGGATGTTTGAGGAGATAGTTCAAAAACGATAGTAAAAAATCAATTATTCGTTTTAATTAGAACTACCTTGCTTATTGATTTTCCAAGTGTGACCTTTTTTTAGGGCGGGTCAAGAGAAATAGGAGGTCGACCAATCAAGGGCCTGATTTGGTACGCCTACAGCCTCAAAAGCTTTGATCTAGATATCATATAAAAAATAAAGAATCGTATCTAATGACAGATACAATACCTTACATCGTAAGGCAGTAGTCTTTTCAGAGCGCGAGACGGCGATCGCGATCCTATGAATTTTGTTGTGTTTAACATGTCATTTCTTTCCATAAAGTAGAATATTTGCTAAAGGTATTTTGATTTAATATCACATCGATATTATTGTTAGTGATTATATTATAGTAATTGAAGTTCTAATGGTGAATTACGTTTCCACGAGTCTTTAATCCTTGAAAAAGAAGATAAAGAATTAAAATTCGTCCAATATAAACATTGCTAACTGAGTCCAGTTTTATTTTACTGCTGTTTTATAGAAGTGTAGTTCATTTATACACCCGAAAGTATGTTTCATTGTCTTTCTATGTGAAAAAATACAGGTTGTGAGTGTCATTATTTTAAAATTCAAATGAGATACATTTGTAGATACCTCAGAAAATGTTCCTGTATTTCTTTTTCCTTAAAAGTATAGTTATGTGGTAAGAATTTCAATATAAGTAAATTCGGGTACTTTCTCTATGATAGAATCTGTGAGTATCCATATTTATTAAAGGTATATTTAGATGTTGGTAAAATATTTCATCCAGTGAGTGTATTCTTCTTTTAAATCCCATTCTTTCCCTTAATTTTTTCCACGTACTATGCCTTCAAATATTCAAGCAAGAGACCTTTCGTGCATAATTTTGATGAATCGCTTGAATGACTACCTTAAAAACGTGTTAGATGAGTATACGTACGATGTATCTACTCGTTTTGAAATAGACACATGGGCGCCGAGAGAAAACAGGGGCTTTGGAGCAGTCAATACACCGGGTGCCTTATTTCAAATAAAAATCCCCCCCTCAGTGCATAAGCAAAATTCGTCTCTCCAAGAAACTTAACTTACAATTTAATTTGAAATATATGTAAATACATTTATATATCCAAAGACATTTCTCTTGAATTAAAGAAATAATAATTAGAGGCTCCAATGAAGTCCCCTTGGGCAAGTGCCGCCAGTTGTTCTCCCCTCTTGACCTCCCTGCGTAGACACATGCAATGAATTTGAGTAGATTTCATGACTTTTCGAATCCACATTGATAGTGCTTTAAAATGCCTATGTCACATTGTTAAGAGCCCTTTAAGAAACCCTTTCTTACTATAAAAACCTGTCAATGCCTTTATTATACATTTGAAGACATGGTGAATAAACTATAACTTTGTACTTTGATAAAATATTGTTTTACTTTCTCGCTACCGCTAACGCACTGGATAGAAAGTTATGAAATTCTGCGCGAAAACCGGCAAATTTTCGGCAGAAAAAGTTGTAATATAGGGCCCTGGTAACGCATAAGTGGATAAATTCAGTAGCTAAATTTAAAAAGAAATCCTCTAACGCATAGTGTAGCCAGAAGCTATGTTTTGTGGGCCCTTGACATCGAAAAATCTATTGACGACAAAACGTCTGTCTTTCCGTCGGTCTGTGAACAACGCTAGCGGCTTAAGCGTTCAACCGATTTCTCCAAAACTGATGTTCCTCAATCGATTTGGCTGATATCGCGGCCTCTTGATTTTAAACCGATATTTAATTTTTTACATAGTTTTAGGTAGTTTACATGAAGCCCCTAGACCATTTTACAAATTTTCCAAAATGTGACCCCAACGTTCTTGATTAAATTTTGTTGTTGGATAGTGTGAAGGACGTTTATAAGAATGGTGCAGGTCTCATTTCCGTTGATAACACTGACTCTTCAAAAATTGCAAATATTCTAATTCTTTTCGGCGTCTTCCTACAACTAAAATTATGAAGACATATTTTTCCCTTAATGAAATCTATTCCTTAAAGATAGATTTTGAAATAAGGTCGTGTACAATTTTTCGAAAATGTAAATACTTTTTGCGTAATTTTGTTTGAAAATACGGGCGAGAAAGTACCTGCTGTTTTAGCATCACTATTTCGTGTTCAATTTCTATTAAATAAAAAATTTGGATTGACCGGCACGGAATTACAAGAGAAAGTCATCATACCAGTGTACTGTATTTTGTTTCAAAGATGAAGTATGCCGCAGACATGAGTATTGAATTAGAAACATCATTTTATGTACATATTTGGATTCTAAGTAAAAAAAGTTGTGACTCTTCTAGCATTTCAATTACTTTGTTACTATAAAATTTTTGTAATAATGTTCTATTAAAGCTTTGAAGTAAAATAAAATTTGGGTTTTTATCAATTTATGCTCCATTTAAAAAATATTATACTGAGTATTTGGAACTTTTAAGAGCAAATTTTTAGGGCCTCAAGTAGGATATTTTTGGGCTTAAATATTTTAAGTGCACTGATAAATGCATGTTACCTCACTTGTACTTATTTAGGATGAAGCTGAGCAAGAAATTTCATTAAACTTTTACCTTTTAATATTAAATTTCAGTTGGGGTATTGTATTTGTATGTAACAGTTTTCGATTTACCGGGTTATAATATGAAGTGTAGATGTATGAGTACAAAATTGGCATTTTTAGTAGCCCTTGCAGATAAAAAATGAGAGCTTCTGTAGGAAATAGTATTTCATGATTTTATTATAAATGGATCAATACAGGGATGCAAGTTTCTATCAATAGTACCGTGTATGGAGTATTATGGGTGTTATTGAAGTGTCTGCATCAGACTTAATACTTCTACATCATGTATTATATAATGGAGAACACAACTCCAATATTTTTACCCAAAAAGATGAGATTCTCGTTAGCAATTTACTAATTTTCATTTTGCATAAAATTTCCAAAGTATAATTAACTCTCCGAGTCTTCACAATCTAGAGATTTGTGTTAACTGTATAGCACCCATGTGATGGAGAGGTGGAATGTGTCCTTGTGATGTTATCGCCCCGGGGATACATGTGGTTGCCCCGAAGCACGTACGGGGTACATGCGTTGTCCTTAGAGTATGGCCAGCATCGACTCGGTAGTACACAAAGAACAGGAAGTTCGTAGAACCAGGGGAATAAGATATGGAGGGATGCTGTTGCCCCTTATTGAACAGTATTTTAAATGAGACTTTTGAAGTCCACATCTCCTCGTCAGTGTTTTCGTCCATTTTACCGTGAACCATTGATATGTCCATAAACGTAGCTTACTGTGAGCAAATTTTGACGAGATCTCCTTTTCCAGGTGTCTTAGGAGTAGCTGTGGAAGAGTGGGTTGGTATTTTATCAGTAATACCATAACCTCAAATTGTAGTCCGGTCGTCGATTCAGATATTTTTTTTCTATTTTCTAATTTGCAAATGTTGCTACCCACGCATTGTTGGGATCTTCATTCATTATTCATCTGTTTATTTTTAAGAGTGGGATAGGGATTCTGAAGCTTAAGAAAACGTGTGCCGACTATACTTTTCAGTTATTACTGTTTTGACGATAAACCAAATTCTGCGTTCGTGCAACGTGTCTTAAAACACCTGTTGAAAAAATATGTCATATAATATTTTCAGCTAAGAAATTCATTGCGTGCACAGGTGTAAACAGATTTTGTGTAACCCGTCATGGTAACTCA